AGCAAGATCAGTTATGGAGAATAAATGAAACCCACAAATTACCTCTTCGACTCATAAACCCTACAGATGAAAGAAGATGAGTCAAAATCGTTTCCTTCAGATATGAAATTCTCCTGCGATAGATGGGAAATTTCTTTTTCTTTGTCCATTTTCAGTCCCGCTTTGACGAACTCTTCAAAAATTAGTGACAAGAATTTCTATAGCTGTGTATTAGGAGCGACAGTAGTAGGAAAGAAGCTAGACTCGTGTTCTTGAAATCGTCTTGTAGAGAGCAAAAAGCGGAAGACTGAAGTCGATGTAAAATATAGTATATGTGAAATCGAAGCTATGGAGAGAAAGGAGATAGAAGTGGTGGTGGATTACAGGTGTTAGAGTTAAAGCACTGGTTCAGATGACTCATTCAAGCTATGTTAAGACATGTTGGTCTACAATGGTGGTGAGGGTGGAAGAACAAAGGTTGAATATCACACAATCTCCTTCACGCACCAAAAAAAGACCCCTTCGTGACATGCACGTTCTTGTGTTGAAGTGGAACTTCCAAAAATCACCATAAATTCTTGAAAAATCCTTATTAAATTTCAAGATCCAATTTCCTTCGTTTTTAAGACATGAGATTTATATATATAAATTATTATTTAATATTTCTACTTTGAAACAAAATGTTAGTAGTAAAGAAAACATATAGTTAACATATTAGGTTTTATTAAACATTATAGTTTAATTTTTAAGTCATTGTGATATATAAAATTATTTGATAATTTTATAAACCATTTGAAATTGTGTAAATTATATATCAAATGAATAATAATATAACGGGTAACAAAACGTATGAACAAAAATATGAACTGCAACTTTTAGTAACATAAAAATAGAAAAACATCTATTATAACATTTGTATTAAAAAAGATATATATACAACGAATAATAAAAATATGAAAATAAACACTATAACTTTTAATAACATAAAAACACTAAAACATCTATTATAACATTTATATTAACTATTCATATTTAAATCACAAATCTCTTCAAATACATTAATGTTTTTAATGTGCAAAACTTTACAACCTTATAAAAGAAAGGAAAATAAAAAGTTATTAGTGATTACTAATTAATAATCATAAGTTAAAAACTCTTGAGTTGTAACTAATAAATACATAAATTAGAAAACTCTTGAGTTGTAGTGTGAGTTTCAAATGAATGCGGTACTTGGAATGTATATTATTATTAAATTATTATTATTATTATTATTATTATATTCGTCTAAATAATTGGTTTTGATGCAATTTTAATCCCTTCAATTATTAAATAAACATAAAGATATTTAATTATAAATTTATAACATACATATGTGCATATACATGTTAAACAAATCACATATAATATATATATTTTCGTAAATGTCATATGTAATTCCTGTCGTAGTAATATGGATAAATTACTTTCATATGAAGAACATATCATAATAAGTCTATCATAATTACATATCAAATGTTCAAAATTATGTTATTTTTTAAATATTGTCTTATAAATATGTTTTGTATGATAACCCAACAAAAAAATAATAGAAAATAAACATAATCAAAATAGAAAAACTACAATAAAATAAATAAGAGCATTGGGTGGTTGAATATATAAATAAAGATGTTACATAAACATACATTTAAATCAAAAGAAAAACTAACATTCGTCAACTTGCTGAAACAAAAAAAACATATATCCATTTTATGAATCTTCTTTCTTCATTTAACATCATTCAACCATAGAAATTTGATGACAATTCTTCACTAACCTGCAATCAAAATATTTTTCTTGAAAAAGAAGAATCAGAAAGATATTACAAGCAAAACATTGATGTTTAGAGAGTCACATTCAAGATTGAGTAAAACACAACAAATCACATAAAGATTAAATGAGAAACTGAATATAAAGAAAGAATAGAAAAGCTTCATTTGTTTTGGTTGAAAGAAAAAATCATATTACAATTACCATCGATGCGACATAACTCATTTCTTCTCAAATCATCATATTTTGATCGTGAATGTTTCAACTATATGAAAACTTTGAATCACAATATCTTCAAATCCTTCTTACATGTAAGATTTTATATAATATAAAAGACACAAAAGATTGACCTTTTTATAGTAAACTCTTCACTAAATGCTAATTAAACATAATATAAGTTATAAAACTTTTGAGTGTTAAATCATAATTAAGAAAACTTTTGAGTTGCATTAGTTAAAAAAAGGGGTTTCAAATGAATGTTGTTTGAGAGGTTAAAAAAGGGGTTTCAAATGCCATGCAGATTCAAGAAACCATGTTCTTTATAAGTATATATATCTATATATATATATATATCTAATATATCTCTATATCTATATCTCCTAGTGAGGTTTCCCGGCCGTGCTAGTTAAAGTGGAGCTTAAACATGACCCATGAAATAGGCTTCATGTTTCTTGAGGTGCGGCTCCACGATGGTAATTTGGGTATTTTCTTCTCAAATTTTGTCACTATGGTGAAGCATAAAAGCACAATGATTTAATAAAAAAAAATGAATGTAGGGTTCTATATTAAACGAATAAATGAAAGGACATTGTATTTCTTGTTACAATGTTATGATAAAAAGAGATGAAAATATGATGCTATAAAGAAATCATGTTCCCATTATCAACGTCTATGGACATCACTAAAGTTATGCTGTATAAATCAACATGGAGTTTCAATGATTTGTTTTTGTTGTGGTAGATAAACCTCTTAATTTTTGTGTTAAGTGAACCATAATAGTTCCTACAAAATGAAGTACCGAAAATTCATGTTCTTTGACTTAAATATGAGTTATGCATTTATTTCTGGATATGGGGCCTAACCTTAAATATGATATATAGAACATGTATTCTTACCCTTTACGAAAATTGGTATTGATTTGTTGGTTTATTCTTGGATGGAAAGTGGGTGTTTAGTAAGTATTGCTAGTCTTCGATATTTGCAAAGGAGAACTAACATATTTCTTCTCATCCCTCGTCAGAGACACTATGGGGTTGACATGGTCTTGAAGAAGCCCAACAACAAAGATACATGAAGATGTTTAAAGATATAAAATGATTAACACATTCGTACAATTTAACATACATGTTCGTTTCAAGGTTAATCAAATAGTGAAACCTTAATAATATATCCGTAGCAATAAAAAAAATAGGAATACTTTGCCGGTAGTAAAATTCATTACACGAGACACATCACGAGCCACAATAACCTCATACTAAAGACATATACATCTGGCTGCAAACAGTTTCAAACACAATATCACTTGAGATAATACGATCCTTAAAATATAAACAATGTGTAATAAACTAAATTAATAATTTAAATTACATTAAAACCTGAACATATTGGGTTGGTCCAACAATATTTTTGTTGGAATCCTAAGTCACGGGAAGCCTTGGGATTCAAGCAATCGGTTTTGTAGAAAAAAAAGAATAAGTCGGTTCCTAGTTTCCTAATTATATTCTAATACAAGTCGGTAATTAGATCTATATATACATGTCTTGATCAAGATTTAGGATTAAGAATACACAATTGTAAACAGTTTGGTTTTGAGCTATTTCCGATTAATCTAAGTGTTGTTTGAGCTATTAATCTAAGTGTTGTAAACAGTTTTGTATTGAGCTATTTCCGATTAATTTATGTCGGTAATTAAATCTATATATACATGTCTTGATCGAGATTTAGGATTAAGATTTAGGATTAAGAATACACAATTGTAAACAGTTTGGTTTTGAGCTATTTCCGATTAATCTAAGTGTTGTTTGATTTATTGTTTGCAATTACGTTTTTTCTAAACTTTAATTTTTTATATTTTTATTAGTAAATATCTAATATATAAGATATAAATACTAAACTACAATTAAAATAATAATCCCAATCTCTAAAACGATTTACGCATTTGTAATCGTTTACTGGACACTTGTGTTATTCAATCTTTAAATTTTTATTATTCTTTTGTTTATTTTAATTTGACCACGTGACAATAAAATATATCATGTTTTTATATAGGAAAACCATAGTAGAAAATAGAAACATTTGAGATTACATTACCAAAAAATTGACGTAGCGATGATGGAAGCATAAGGGGTATCCGGAAGAAGCAAGCAGGAGCAATGGGCGGTGGCTTCTTTCCTATTGGAGGAGATGGCAACGAGAAACCAAGGCTAAAAGTAAGGCCTCCCATTCAAAGCTATTTTCGTATATATATATATATATATATATATATATATATATATATATATATATATATATATATATTGCCAATTCACCCAGTAGGGACTTCTACAAACATCTACAAAGTCCAAGCAAAGTTTGAACTTCTCCGTCGGCAACAACTTTTGTCAACATATCAGTTGCATTCTCCTTGGTATCTATCTTTTGAATGGAAAATCTTTCTTTCTCTATAACATCTATGATGTTAACCTTACATAAATATGTTTTATCATCTCATTATAGACATGATTCTTTGCAACACACAAATGAACTTTCTAGCACTACCCACATAGGTAATGCTTACAAGTCCTAAAACTGATAATACTGAGTGTTCCATAAAACCTTGTAAAACCTTCCCTTACTCATAGTATTATCAAATAATAGGTGAAGTATAAGCTTCAAACATTTTAAGGATCAATTCCCCGATTGGAAACCAAATAGATTAATTTTTTTATATAATAGTTGGAGGTTTTGGGTGAATATTCATTCACAACTTGGAAAGAAAAAAACACACGATAAGAAGAAGCATGTAATCATCTGTAGTGCTTGTCATCATGTGTTGTTCAAATTGAGGAGAAAAATAAAGAAAGGAGTAAAGCAATATGCAACATCAGAAAAAGTATATATATATATATATATATATATATATATATATATAATCAGAAACAAAAAACTGAACAATTTTAATTTCATCACCAACAAAGAGCTAATGTTTAGTATGCCTAAAATAGTCTTTTAGAGCATCAAGTTGATGATTCCACCTTTGTTTTCTTCTTAGATGCATTCAGCATATGAGGTAAAGCTGATGTTGAGGTGAGACAAGCTTTGAGAAGTGAAAGCGCCTGCACAGTCAAGCAAAGGGTGTCATTACATTTATCATTAAATCTCCACTTCTTTCTCTACATTATTACTTGAATAATGCAAACTTCATGCAGCAAAGATTGTCCGAACTGCTTTTACTATCCATGTTTTGTTAAAACAAGTTTACCTCCTGTTCACCAAAGCTCACTTCCAGAACCTCCATATCACCAACAGGAACACCAAGTGTGTTCAACTTTGAGAATGTAGCTATCGATGGAGAGGGGATTACTTCCAGATCATTATAAACCATGAAAGATGCTTGATGAAATGACATGTACGTGGGTTTAATTCATAATTCGGTAGAAATTCAGTCATATATTTATAATAATCATCAGCAAGCTTTGGGCAAAGTAACATGCTCTTGACATCCTCAGATTTCAAGTAATTTCCATCTCCCAAACTTGAAATACTATTGTACAAATTACTTATAGCCATTAATGAAGATGAACCAACATCCTTTGTTAGATGTATGACAGCACCCAATGGGATGGTTAGGAAACTGAAGAGCAGATCCACAAAAAGACTCTCCACTTGTGCGCATAAAAGCTTCTTGTTTGATTTTTGAACCAGCAATTTCATTGATGTCTGAGTTTTTCCGGAGTTGCTCGATCGATATCAAAGATGAATTACACAACGTAGAGCTTGTAGGGCATGAAGAGCATGGCTTACCTCCTCCAAGCACCAGGTGTGTCAAAGGATAATTCGTCGTTAAAGACCACATCAGTAAATTCAGGAACTGAAATAAATATATCAGAGGGATATTAATTAAAAGAATAAAGTTCCTAAAAAACTCGACCCAAATGCAGCCAAAAGCCAAAAACCTTACCTCTTCCAAACCAAAATACATTGTTCTCTCTTCTTAACAAATTAATGTTTTCAACACCGAGAGAATTAAAAAGTCTGATGCTTGTATCAAGCGTGAGAGGTACTACATTGAGATCGTCTGTAATTATGAAATTATCCAACTTTTTTACAAACACACCTTGCAGCCAATCAAGCACACGGAAAGTTTTGAACTTGGTCTTGGTGTCATCTGGATTTACTTTAAGATTCTGGCATAGAGAAGCTGATGAATTTTTCGGATCGACTAACAAATCATGATGGGACCAAACTATATATTTCAAAGCTAAACTCACAACACTTTCATAAAGAGAAGTCAAGCTTCCAAGTTTAATATCCGTTGAGTCTAAATGCTTTCTTGAGAGCTTTGCAATTGTTCCCAGAGGCAAAGTGAAAAAACTAAAGAGTATGTCCACAAAGTCATTGGCTGCTTCCGCAAACATCACCTTTTTCTTCTTTTTGTCAACAAATACTTTCAGTTGAACTGACTTTTTAGAGGTTTCCATGGTATATATCTGATGAAGTTGACAAATAAAGCCAGAAATTGTAGGTTTATAAACATAATACAAAATATTTCAAAGTAAAGGATTATGTAATCAAAACACATAATTTACTTATGAAACATGGTCAGTATTGCAACTGAATCTATTATCCTCAACAATCATATCTTAATGGGAAAAACCTTAGTCAAGAGCAATATATATCCCACTCAGTGCATCTCTATGTCTTAAACCACATACTGATCATGTGAACAGTGTGCTAGCATTTTTTCCAACATACAGTATTTTTTATGCATAAAGTGTCATCAATATGTGCTAAATGCTAATCACCTAAACTTATAATTAAAGTAATGGTAAACACACAATAACAGGTTATAGAAGAAAGCATAGTGATATAATCTGAGGAACGGAAATACACATTAAAGTTTAAAGAGACCTCAAAAAGCAACTATCTGAAACCACTTTCTTCTTTCAACTGTATACGTAGCAACCATGAAATGCAAATATATACTGTATAAACCTCAAGAAACTTACTGACATTTATCTTCCAATAAATGAAAAACTCGAGACCAAGGATTGCCATGAATTATAATATATTCACATGCATAACCAATAAAGAAAAACTAAAATGGTTTGATGATTCAACAAAAGCGGAAGTAACATATGGCGATCATTCAACAACAAAAAACAAAATGGGAACGAAAATCGAGGAAGACAGATTAACTTACATTTACCAAACAGAAAATATCTCAAAATCGATGAGTAAGCTACGATTCAAAAACAATTCGAACAAGAAAATTTAGTGAAGGGGAGAAGAAGCAACAACAGATCACGAGAAATATATATAGGCAACGAGTAGGAACCACAACCAATGAAGCGACAGCGGGTGGCTAGAGCGAAACTGGGGATTAGCAGCTTTTCATTTTCCAGGAGAAAAATAGGCAAGTAGAATTGAAGCGATCAAGAGCGGAAACGCTTTAGTTCCCAAGTTTTACACCCAAAGTCACTATATATATATATATATATATATATATATATATATATATATATATATATATATATATATATATATATATATATATATATATATATATATATATATATATCATTTTCAAAACAAAGCGTTGAAACTGTTGGATTAGTGTCTAAGTCTATAACTATTTTGGTATGTACTTGACCTGATTATGAGCATGGTCCTTTTGGGTTGCCTTCACCATAGCAATATGTAGGATGAATTAAAAAGAGAAAGGTTTAATTATGATTTGTTAATATATTATGAGAATAATATATTAAAGGAGAAATCATATTGTTTAATTAATATTAGTCAAGAATTAATTAAGAATTAATTTTGTGGCTAAAAGAGATTAATTAAACTTAGGGGACTGGAATTGTAATTATAGGATAATTGCAATTGGGCTATGGATCACCTTGGAATAATAGGTTGGACGAATTCTATGGGGAAGCCCATTAGAAATCGTCCAAGGCATGTTCCAGAAGGGGTCCATGGGCTGCTTAGGGCTTAAGCAGTCAAATTAGGGTTTCCTTGTTGGATAACCCTAATAGCCTAAGAATATAAGGAACCCTTGGGCACCAAAAACGTGGCTAACACTTGGATTAGGGTTTCCAGCCGTTTTTGGTGCCTCCTCTCTCTTCTCTCCTTCATCCAATTGCTTAGTGGTGTTTGTGACTCCATTAGAGGTGCAACACTTGAGGCACTAAGCTTTCTGAAGCCAATGATTGATTGTTATTGCTATATAACAATCAAAGGTAAGATCTAAACCCTAATTTCAGTTATAGTTTATTAGATCTAGGGTTTATGGTTTTGGATTATCAATCGCATGTTCATTAGACAAACTAGATCCAAAGCTATTAGGGTTTGCATGTACACCATAGGATTGATGTATTGCTCGAAACCCATCAGTGGTATCAGAGCCTAGGGCTGTTTATTAGTGAATTTGATGCTTGATTGATCGATTTTTGCATGAAAAACGAAGTTTTTTGCCCTCTGCCTTACTGACTCGACGAGTCAATGGATGAACTCGGCGAGTCAGGCCGACTCGGCGAGTCCAGTCCCTGACTCGGCGAGTCCATGGATCTGGCAGCCTGTTTTGCGATTTTCTTGCCTGTTTTGACTGTGGATAATTACCTAAAACGTTTTATGTAATGTCCGTGTTTCTAGGCTAGGCATTAATATTGACATGATAGTCTAGGTTAACCTTTGTGACTCATTTTGGAAAAATGAAAAGGAATTATGTGAAAAATTATGTGTTTTATGTGTTTTATGCTTAATTATTAGGATTTAATTAATTAAGATTAAAAATGAGCGTCAAAAAAATAAATATTAGATAAAGCCGATATTTATTAAGAAAGTTGTAGTGGCCGTGACAAGGATTACGGATATATAAAGAATGCCGAAATCCGAGTTATAACGAAGAAGTTATGACCTGTCGTAGTTTCGCGACAAACCGACACGGTGCCGAATGTCGTAAAAAGTGAGTTTTTGATAAACTACTTTTTAGCCTTAGTGATCTAAACGAAACTCGTAGTATTCGTTAAATCGAGAAGTTCGATAAAAAGAACGCCCAAATCTGACTTCGTATGAGGAAGTTATGATTTTTCGAAGTTTCAGCTTAGCAGTAGACAGCTAAAAACTCGAATTTTAGATCGAGTGATTTTTAGCCGACACAACCTAAACGAGAATCGAAGGTCTCGTAAATAGTAGCACAACGGTAAAAAGTCTGACGAAAACGGACGTCGGATGAAGAAGTTATGAATTTTTAACGAATTTTCTGTCCCGGTCTGTTAAAAATAATAATATAAAAATTAATGTCAAAATTAGCCAACTAAGTCTAAACGGAAGTTGTAGAGCGTAATTTTACCTACGCGTGCATATAAAGAACGTCAAAAACGGAGCTCGTATGCGAAAGTTATGGATTTTAGAAGTTTTGGCGCGAAAAACGAGAAAAATCCCCAAAACCGAGAAATTTCGCTGAGTCACTTCGGACACGTCATCCCTCGCATGCGAGGCCTCCACGTGGCATCTCCTGATAAGACCGAGCTTCGCGTGTCGTCTTCTGATTGGACCAAGTCCGCGGTCCACTCGCGTTCGGACAGCCTCGCATCGGACACCCCGGAGACACCCCCTTCCAATACGTGTCAGTCTTCTATTGGACCGAAGTCCGGACCAATCCGAGCCTCCCATCTACGAGCCTGCGGTCCGAAGTAAGCCAGAAACCTCGTCACCTGTCCGACGCGTGTCACCTTCGCACAGCTTCGGGTCCGAACCTTCGGACTATATATAGCATGCGAGGGCTTCCGAAGAACCCCATTTTTCACCCCAAAATTTCCCCTTTTTTATTTTCACATTTTAGCCCCGAAACTTTCTCACGACCCCGAAGGCCCCGGTATCACTTCTAAAGCCCGAAGCAAGCCCCGGAGCCCTGGAATTCTCGAGAATTCATCCTCTCTCCTGTCGAAACTCTGCCCGGTTTGAGTCGGTTTCTCGTTAAATAAACTCTTTACGGGAAACGAAACGCTGCCCGAATCACCGCTTATCAAAGTGAGTTCATACCCCTATAATTTATCTTTTCGGTTTCGAAGCCCGACCCTCGCAGAGTCCGGTTTCTCAATAAAACTCCCGGTTTTATTAGAAACGATCGTTTTAGGAAACGAATTGCTGCCCGATTTTCATTAAATCAAGTGAGTGTGTAGTCACTTTCATCTTACACATAGATATGAAGTATTTTATATAAAATACGTGCTATGTGTATATATGTTGTTTGTTTATTCGAGATAGGTGTTAAATGAATGTTTTATACATGTTTAAAATGATTTAAAATGTAATATATTTTTATCTTCAAATATGTTGGGTAAAACTGGGTAGATAAAGTATGAGGGATAGAAGTACAGTATAGATGTACGTTGGTAGCTATGAATTTAGTACAGTATAGATGTACGTTGGTAGCTACAGATTTAGTATGTTGGCAGCTATGGACTTAGTGTCTGTTGTATAAACCTTGGCGACGATGTGACTTCGTGCCTATTTGACAAAAATTGTTGAAGGAAAACAATGTTGTCACCCGGTGTTTTGTCTTGTTTGACATAAATTGTTGAGAGAAAACAATGTTGTCATCCAGGTGTTTGTTTTATTTGACATAAATTGCTGAAGAAAGCAATGTTGTCACCATACTGATTGTTTTATGTCAGGTGGTTTTATTTGACATAAATTGCTGAAGAAAGCAATGTTGTCACCTATTATTGGTTGTTTTATTTGACATAAATTGCTAAGAGAAAAGCAATGTTGTCACCCCGGTGGTTTACCTTATTTGACATAAATTGCTGAAGAAAGCAATGTTGTCACCTTATTGGTCGTTTTGTGTTAGGTTGTCTTATTTGACATAAATTTCTGAGGAAAGCAGTGTTGTCACCATGTAGGTTGCCTTATTTGACATAATTGTTTGGAGGAACCCCCGAAGCAAAAGTTGTCACCCCTAATGAAATCCTTAGGCTAGGTCCCTTTGATAGTTGTTTTAGGGACGTAAGGTGAGGATAACGGGAATGGGTAATTAGGGTTGTTTTTGGTTGCTGAAATTAATAAAGTATTTGTTGATTGATAAACTTAAAGAGTTTATTATTTATTGTGGGTTGAAAACCCTATATGCTCACCAGGCTTCCAAGCCTGACCCACTCAACTTTTTATATTACAGGTAGTGGACCCCGAGCATAGTCGGATGATGATGATGAGTGATTTTTGGATTATAGGCCAGTAGTTATAAATGACTGTTGTAAGGCTTATAATGTCTTGTTTATGCTTTTGTTCTATATCGGAACATGACATCCCGAGGTTTTGATATAAAAGGAGATTATATATTTCTTAAAGAAAGGTTTTGACAAACTTTTATCATGTCTTGTTTTGGGGACCAATTCCGCAACATCTTTTAAAAAGATTTCTCTAATTTATTTAAAAAAAAAATAAACGAAATCGGTCTTTTCTGGCCGTGAAATTG